ATGCTTTTGAAAGACAATTTGATGAATCAGTCATCAAAAGATACATTACATATGGAAATGGCTTTAATAGTAACTTTATATTTTGAAATAGTTCTTTACATCTTTAAAGAGAAACAAAACAAATTCATTTTGTAGGTGTTGGGAATTATTGGGCACTAATGTTACAGAAATAATAAAGAACCTATCTAAATGTTTGAAGATATACTTAGCAACAAGTTAATTGATAGGATGAACAATAAGTCTGACAAATTAACAGGATAAAATGCTAGTTTGGAAGTTGGATGCTTTACCTCAGAAAATGATCCTGATTTTTGGTCAGTATCTTGATAATTACTTCCTCTGTTTGTACACCTTAAGTGCCAAACAGTAACTAATGACTACAATTTTAATGGCAGCATTTTTTTTTCTTTTTTTCTCTCAGACTCAAGTCTAATGTTAATTGGCTGCTAATTGTGCAATATTATCTTTTTTCACACTTCAGAGGGTAACCACGTTCAACAATTGGTAACTATCTCATTTAGTTACATTTTAATTGTATCTGCATACAATTGTTGAGACCATTCAATGTACTGGAAGAACAGTTTCAGTGCTCAATTTATTTATAAGTAGCTGAACTTTCTCTCATTTGAAATGTGCAAAATTATTTGAACAGTACAAAATTTATTTGCACGAGTAAGATTATAATAACAATCTCACCTTTTTTGTATGACAAAGTAAATAGATCTGCCTTTTGGATTAATGATAGCTTCTCACCTAACATGATGCTTGCATTTAAAAACTCTGCTCTTGGGATTTAATTGTTCATTTAATCTTCATACCTATTTTCTATAGATGGTTCTGAAAGTTTCTAAAAGAGCAATAAGAATGCTTTTTGGATTTAAATGCATATTTTTAATAAATGTATTAAATTAAAATATTGTGTGAGGTTTTCCAGAGTGAGCACTTGCACTTGTAGAAAAGAATTAATGGCACAAATATGATCCTTTACTCAAAGTGTAATGTAGCATTGTTTTCCAAACCCTAGTGTATCATTAGAATAAATCTGTTTTACAAGGTATATGGTAGCAATTCCAAAATGGAGAACTTCCTTACTGAGTGCTATGCATCTCTAAAGTAATCAGTGGTTTTAAATAAAATTGTTTCCACTAGATATTGTTTTGGTATTCCTTCACAAAAGTATTTAAAAATTCTCATTTTAGTTATACTAGAATCTAATGACAATATTCTAAAGTTTGGGAACAAAACTATCTACAATTTCATCATTTGAAAACAACGATTCATATCACATGAATCTCCATTCTACAGTTTTTTTTCAAGTCTATAATATCTGTATTAGTACTTAAAAGGAGTCCGGCATACAGCTGAATTTTCCTTTTTTTTGGGTGGGAACATTGGGGTCAACTTTTCTCACATTAATTACACAACCAGCCCCTATGGTGCCCAGTTCATGCAATTGTGTGGCGGTGGCTGCTTTAAACCTGGCTCCCCAGGACATCACTGCATCCCATAACATTTCCTTCAAGCTGTGGTCGTGTGTCATTGGGATCTTGGGAATTGGCATCTTGCTATTCCAACAGAAACGATGGAGGTGCTGGAGGATACAGTTGTGAAAAAGATGTGCCTCAGGATTGCTTCTCAACCTGCTGATTATCATTTGGAGTGCATGGCACATACTTTGATACCTCACACTGACTGAAGTCTTTTTAAAAAGTTGCCTAACCTGAGAATTCCCAGTATGTACACATCATGGCTTCTCCTAGGATATCTGGTGCATGCTTCCAGATATTGTCTATGGGAATCAGTCAAAGCCTTTTTGGTTGATCGAATACTCCAGGCTAGTGAAAAAGTGCTCTCACTGCAATATTGTGCAGTCTATAGAGCTCCTCACCTGGGCAATGCCAGTAATGTGGGAGAATCCAGCTGCCAAGGCTGCTTGACTCTTTACAGGGAATGATTATAACTTGCTGCAAATCTAGAGGAAAATGGCATCTGATTTGCTGGTCCCATTTGTGGGCCAAGAATTGAGAGCGGCCACGCAGGTTGCTCCTTAGAATGAGCCATTGGCGTTATAATTCAGGGCAATTATGTCCATGCTGGGCACTAGGATTGGATGGCCATCCAATCCAGAGCCAAGTTCTGCTCCAGCAGATACCACAATTCATGCATGGGCTGTCTCTTGACCTCCCTGACCATTAATACCTGAACCCCAGGTCCATGGTCCACCTACCAGATTGACTTGGGAGGATAGCTCCAACTGAACAGGGCCTAGCCTGTGGATAGATATTTCCACAGTTCTCCAACCAACTGTATCGAATTCCTGTACTGCAAAGACAACGATCCCTGGATTCTGGTCAGACAAAGTACCTGAATGACCATGACTAAGGCCCTGGACTGAGAACAAACAAGTTCCTTGTTTGAGTGTGGCAGAGCTCCCTGATTAAAGATACTGCCCTTTCAGTAAGGACTGGCCGTCTTTTGACTTTGTGATTTGGCATTTGGTTGAAGCACATACTGTCTGTTTACTGTGTAGGCTGCTAACGCATACTGTAGATGTGCCACCAACCTAGCTTGGTGCCAGATAGCAATGTGAGTACTTGCTTGAGCACTGCTCTAAACTATGAACAGCTCCCTGCCTTTTGTTATGAATTAAACAGCAACGCAAGTCGGAGAAACTGGCAACCCAAAAGTTATGACTGAAGACCCTATGTGCTGAAAAGTAATGCTAGCGTGTGTTCAATTCTCAGAATAAATGATGTTACCATGCGGGACCCTCCTCAACCTGTCCCCTCACCTGAAGCATGGTGGCCCTCAAGTTTAACTCACCACCAGTCATCTCTCTAGTGAGAGAGCAGCCCTATTGTCTGGTAGCACTATGATGACTTTACTAAAATGCAGTATTCACGTGCAGGGCCATCTTGTAAATGAATCAAAAATAAGCCACGAGGATGCACGAGACTGGTATGTGCAAAATAGAAACATCCTTGGCTAGCATATGCGGATGGTTGCTGCCCATGAAGCATGCTCTGAGAAGTTGGTGACTGTTGTCCCAGATGGAGGCCTACAGAAGCAAGCGGTGAGCTGGAGTCATCAGGTACACACTCTGACTTTCATGTTGGGAATTTTCACCATCTGGTTTCTTGCTGACAAACGAAAAAATTGGAAACTGTGTACCTAAGGTAGACTAGGCAATAATGACATGACAGTGCATGCAAAATGGCCTGTCACCACTCATGAGTGAAATTTCTGTCTTGCTGTTCGAAACTTGTTTGGAGAATTGGGCTAATTACTCTTGATATTGAGAATCTAATTTCTGCTGAACTCCCCCTATTTATTTCAACTGACTCTCAAATGTTCATATCATTCAGTGACTGGGAATCTTCTTGTTACAATGAATATGTAATTTTCTTTTGTTGAAAAGGTTTGAAAGAATTTGCAACCATTTTTAACCCTTTTTTTGTTGACTACTTTTCCCATTTGTTTGTGTCAAGTTAAAAGCTGAAATAAAAGGCAACAAAGCCGGAAATTTAAAAACTTCACTTCTGTACAAATCCCCAGTAAAGTCTTTGCATTTTTAGCTTATGCAGGAGATTATGCTCGTGTCCAGAATTTTCTTTCACAGTATTATGTAAACTAGTCAGTTGAGTAAAATATACATTTAGCCATTCCTATATTTGTCTTTTGTGTCTAGAAGCTAACGTGTTCATATAAAGAAGCTTTTATAATTATACAAAAACAAATCAGAACACACTTCAAAAATAACAGGAATGGGGAGAGTATATACAGGAAATCTGGTATTATAAGAGAAAAAGATGTAAATTTACCAATTTTTATCTGCAGCAGTAAAGAAGGAAAGACTGGAATTAGCATTTGGGAGAGCTCTTTAATTCAAAATTAATGGGTCTGTACCTGGCGTCTTGTCTCTTTGGATATGAAATTACCTCCTGCATATTTCCAACCTCTCTCTGTTTTTGTAGTAATGTCCTTCTTTTACAAAGCATCAAAATGGTGTATTCTATGGAGCAGGGGCAAATTTATGTTTTGTAAATTGCTAATGAACAATTTTGAAGTAATACTTCATAGTATAATTTATTACCACCTTAATGCAACTCTGAACTTCTTCTGGCTGCTGTTTTTTAATAGAGATATGAGCCATTTCTAAAATAGAGGATTTTCTGAATCATGGTCATAGGAAATTACAGGATGTACTCGTCTGCCTGTTGCCTTTTTTTTGCTGTTAATGTGTCTCCTTGTAGTTACAGCGCTTTATTTTGTGATTTGATTTCACTTCTTATTCAGTAAGTTATTCTCTCCAAGCTTCTAAGCTTGTTGTGTCATGTGGAGTCTTGCTTGCAAGATGCTTTTCCATGAAACCTTCATTGTTTATTTCCTATAAAATTATTCACTTACTTGTACATCTCTGGCTCCTTTTATAGCCGCTCTCCCTTTTCTTCCCCTTTTTACCCTTCAGCTATCCAATTAACTTTTACTTAATCTACATGCCAAGTTGTGCCAAAAATCGGCTGTGTCAATTTCGAGGAGTTGCATAGCAAGTTTTCTTATGCACTTTAATGCTGCTCACTTCATTATGTATGCACCACACCTTTCCGGCACCTCGCTCACACTACTGAGTGTGTATTAGCAGCAGCAGTATTCGCCACTGCCAGGACCTTCAGGGACTTCCAGTGCAGATGCCCCTATTTAAAACCCAGCTATACACCAAGTCAAGCTTTACCAGCCACAAATAGCTCTTCACAACACATGTAACAGGAGGGAAACAAAAGACAAAGGCTTCTGAGGGCACAAATGTTGCACAGGTGACTCTTCTTTGGAAATGTAAGCTCACGTTCTTCAGTGTATCACTGTTTTACATCATCATCTGATCGACAGTCACTGATTGTAGCTACAAGAATCAAACTAAGCAGGTTACGCTATATCCTGTTACAACAATTTCTAAGAGAATGCTACACTGTCTCTAAAGCCCAATGTAATGTAATGTATTCTCATTCTTCAATGCAAGAGTATCGATACTGGAAAGTCTTCAAAAGATTTGAAAATGATGATTTTTCTGGAACTACAGGAAAAGTGAAGAAAAACAAACAAGATAAAGTTGTATTTGCTTCGGGAATAGACAGGAGCTGCTTGCCTTTTGACTGTAAAGTTGCTGTTGTTGTTGTCTAATGACTAATCTCTGCATCCAGTTGGGTGGATATTGGAACTAGATGTCAATTAATTCCAATCTGGCTTGTTGTACCCAATGCTGCCGTATCCTATCATGATATTCCTCCTACTCAATGTTCTTACCTTCCTCCTTGGCAGACTGCTATTCCCTCTCCCAGCTCTTCCCCATCCAACACATTTCCTCTTTGCCTGCTCCAATTACGCAAAAACAACATGCTAGGGTTATATAGCATACTCTGTATGGAGTATACTGCAATGACCCCCACCTCCCAGACTGATCCAAGCATCAAAACCTCGTGTTCAGGAGGGCTATGATCTGCTTCATAATGGCTCCGACCAAAGAATGCTACTTTATGTTTATGCTTGCCTCAGACAATATATTGGGTATGCTGTCATCAGCCATGGTTGCAGAGGGTAGCCCTTGTCTCCACTAACCATCCCCGAAAGGCATGTGATGCTTTAATGAATTAGGACAGAAGAGTTCTCAAGGATATAGGCATTGTTACAGCTTCCACAATACGTGAGCAGACTTCTAAGCTATGATACCAATGATCACAGATGACTTGTGTATTGATGGAATGGGATTCTTTCCTGTGGATGAAATAGGTTGCATTATGATAGGGTGCAATCTGTAGTTGAAGGCCCACTTCACAGTTTTGCCTCATGGAGATGCTCTCCACCTGGGGGCAGCCAGTTATGTTAGCAAAGCCTACTCCCCAGGCTTTGAGAGAGTGATCTGGCACAAATTGCGTCAGTAACAGCCTTGATCCATAAGTGGGTTGAGGATTGACAGATCCCAGACAGGATCCTTGCAAGCAGTCGGTTGTGTAACAATTTAGTGCAGCTGTCACCTTGACGGACAAGAGAATAAGATGGACATCCAGCCCTTCAGGTTGCAGGTCCCACTCCAGCAGCTGACATAGTTCTGTGATTGTGTCTGGACATACTCTGTGGCTGCACTGTGTCTCACTCATCTGGAGGAAATAGCATCAATGATAATAGTCTCAGGGCTTCCTATAAGCCTTCTATGTCCGGAGTGAACCTTCAGCCGTGAATTCATAAGGAGGCAATTTGACAGCTGCTGCAGATGACTACTCATTCTGGGATTGCTGGCACAACTGCTCCTCCTCCATTTCTCTGAGCCTGAAAAGTGTTGAGGCCACACCAGCCATGTTCTCTGCTGTGGCTGGATCCATTGGTCACAGTTCCAATGAACCTGTATGGGGAATATCAGAAACAGAGCAACCCTTGGTAATGTAAGCAGTAAGCATTCACATCACAAGGAAATGAAGGCTTAGTATATTCTCAATGCCCTGGGAAATGAAGGACTAATCATCCCTTGTGCAACCTATGAGATTTTGGATTGTCTTTGTAAATTGTAGCCAAAAGGTAACACTTATAAGGTTACCTGTGGTAACTACTGCTTCACAGAGATGTCTGTGATTAATCTGTAATGACGAATGATATGGTCAAGATTGATTGCAAGCAGATTTGTATTCCACACATTGGACAGTGATGAGTTTCACATGCAGGATGCTATGATTACAGATGACTTTAAATTGTAATCTGAGAATGCCTGATTAATGTAATTGTCCCTTGAAGGGCCTCACATCACTCACATGTAGAGCCTGCATCCTCAGCCAGAAAAGAAACTATTTACTCTGTCCATTCCACATGTGCTCACAGCCATTTTCCATTTCCATTACACATTTATGATTTGGATGAGATTGGAAAGCAATGCAAGTCGTGCTTGGCAGAGTGAATTGCAGGCTTAGAATAATAATGTAGGGACTGCTCCCAAACCTTCATGTTCCTTTCTTTCTTGCACTCCCTGTCAACTCCATCAGTTCTGAGTTTCTGACTCATTTAGGTCTTCATCTCCCAACATTATCCTCTGGGCCCCAGGCCTACAACTTAGTCACATCAACCATCATGATACACCGTCTCTTGTTAAGGCCATGGTGGTAGTGATCGTCGTTGACTCCTGTCCCACAACAACCCAGGTCTTCCAATGCACTGTCATCTCCCACCCTTATATGGCCTATCTTCACAATTATTGTTCCCTTTGCAACCCAGCATGCTGCCTCCAATCCCCAGAACTGATTTTGCTAAAATTTCCTACAGAGTGCTGTCCCCGCTGATAATTCACTTGATGTTCATTGGCCATGCACCCAGAACTGGCCATGATCCAAACCTCTGATTGACTTTGAAGGGCAGCCCTGACTGATGAGTGACCAGACCCTTGACTGATATCTGTACAGTTCCCTATATGACTTACCAATACTTGCCAGATTGGTTGCACAGGACCTGCAGGTCTGACCATGACCTGCTGATTTTCCCATGTACTCAGTCACTCGGTTGGCTGCCCGGTTCATATTGCAGCACTGCAAAACGTTCTCTTGAGCTTCTCTTGAAATGCTCATGCTTTGTCCGTCAAAATCTCAATTAAAAGAGTTAAGACAATTTTGTATTCATTATTTTCATACTTTGCTTAAGTTGAGCCAAATACCTTTCATTTACTGTAATTAAGATAAAGTAATACTCATTTTAAACTGAATTAAATATTTTGACATTGTTTGTTTTGTTAATGTTGAGTGGATGTGAATGTGCAGGGAGCAACCCGTGCGCATCTCAGTGCTTAACATTGTGGTAAAACGGTGGTTAATTGTTAGTCCTGTGGTCGTCCAGCCAGCATATTATGCAGAAAGTTGAAAACTTCAGATCATATGATACAGAAGAGATCAATTTTGGAAATTACCCTTTTGCAGGTTTCAATAAATTTCATCCTAGGGTCTTAAAAGAAATAGGTAGTGAGATAGTTGATGAGTTAGTTTATATTTTGTAAAACTCATTAGATTCGGCAAAAGTTTCTTTACATTGGAAATTAGCTATTGTAGCTCGTTTTATTTAAAGAGGGAGGGAGGCAGAAAACAGGAAACTACAGGCTAGTTAGTTTAACGTTTGCCACAGGGAAACTGTTAGAAGCTTTTAAAGAATTTTTTTTTTCTTTTCATTTTTTTGTGGGATGTGGGTGTCGCTGGCTGTGCTAGCATTTCTTACCCATCCCCAGTTGCGCTCGAGAAGGTGGTGGTGAACTGCCTACTTGATCCGTTGAGTTCCTCTTGCTGTGGGTTGGCAGCTATTAGGGAGGGAATTCCAGGATTTTGACCCAGCGAATTGTAACAGGGCACTTGGATAAGGTAAAGGTAATCAGCTGGAAGTCAACCAATAAATTCACTAGGATTTTTAGATGGAATTTCTTTATCCAGAGTGTGATTAGAATGTGGAACTCTTTCCTATGCTTAGTTGAGATTTAGGTGCTTTAACGGAAAAGGGAAGAAAGAAATATGTGAAGCACTGTGGGATGTTTTGTTATCTTAAATGTGTTACTTAAAAACAATTTGATGAGGTTGGTGAGAGCTTTTAAAACATACTTTTTAGAGGCTGCACGCTCAGAAGAGCTAGCTTAATTTTTAAAGCCTCAATAAAGATCTGGAAATTACAACAATTCACAGAATCATTTAAAGGTGTTTGATTCACCCTAGAGGTGCAGTAAACTTTGTGGTCTGGACTTCTTTTCTGTTATAATGTTCTTAAAACTAGTACAACTGATTGTGGTAACTCAGGTTTCACTAAATGCAAATTGTGGTTAACATTCCACAGCTTTTACATCACGTGATTCCAGTCAAATTATGCTGCTCGGATGGAAATTCTTGGCTAAAATATATATGTTAATGAGGAACTAGTAGCAATTTTATTGGACTTTTGTATCTGTACATCTATCTACTCTACACTGGCATGGAATATATTACTGAAATATTGAGCTGAATTTTATTGCCACCTGCCTATATACTTGTGACCAAGATAGCACAGAAAGTAAAACCGGTGATTTATTCATCATATTCCCACATATTCTCGAGCTGTTCATCCTAGTACCTTGCCCCTTCAATTACGCCTCCCTCCCTGGCTTCCAACCCAGTTGAAACTCCCCTTTCATCCCAGCATCAAAGGTTAGAATCTTGTGCTGCTCCCTAGAGTTGGAAGGGGAAATTAATCATGGTTGAGTCCAAAAATCAGTTTCCTGTCAATGGATGAAACTTTAAAATTAAGGCTCTGAACTTTAAAATGTGGGATGAACACTTCAATGACAGGGAGTCAGTGTCAAGGAGACAGGGTGTCTGGTGTAAAAGGAGAAAGGGTAACCATGTCTTGAATGTGCACCTCCTGCTGGGAGAGCAGTTGGGGTTTCTAAGCAGGGCTGGTCATAAATACAGATGCTATCAACGCTATCAACAGCAGGTCATAGGGAGTTAAACAGTGACTGCTGGGCAGTGGAACAGTGACAATGAGAGGGGGATGGAATGCAGAAAGGAGAGAGTTGAAAAGTCATGGTTGGATTTTGTGAGGAAATATCAAACATTACAGAACAGGTGTCTTCAATAATGGGAGGCATAAGGGTTAGGGTGCGCATGCAGACATTGGATATGGGCTTACAGAGGAGATAAGGTATTTGAGTGTTATAATGTCAAGGGTATTGATAAAGTTTAAGGGTAACAGTAAAGTCATATGGTAGCATTGGGTGGGTTGAGGCTGATGGGGTAAAATTGGTGGATATGGGGAGGAGTGAAAGCACTGGAATATCTATGAAAGGTAACGCACATCGTCTTATTAACCTGCTGCAGCGAATGTAGCCCTTCACTAAGAGTGATCACTCAAGTTTTGAGAAGGGTCATTTCAGGTGGATGGGATTACTGGACATGCTCAATGGTAAAAATCATGGGAATCCTAATAATCATGATTCAACTGGATGACAATCATGCTCAGGTGTGGGCTCCTCTCTCTGGTCACCATTGGTCTGGTAACAGCAACATTGCTCCCTGACCCCTGTGTCTCATTCAAGCAATGTCCAAGCAAGGCCCAGGTGCTGGAGTAAAGGCATCTTCTGATGACCCAGGCAGGAAGTGATGGAGGTAGGGAATTGAAAGTTCCATGAGCTTTCAAGGGGAATGGTCTGTGGAAGGATACTGGACTGTATCATAAGTCTATGTTCAGAGTGATTGTGGGAAGAGCAAAGGTTGCACTCTGAAGAGTTCTGTAACGGGCCAATGTTGTGAAACTCAAGCATGACTGTTGAAAACATAGGGATGATAGAAGGAATAAAGATGATGTGGGTGAAACTTTAAGGGTCCCAAGTAGACTGTCATGCCTGAAAAGGATGGAATGTCTCTGGGACCAAGGTAAGTGTCTCTTGAATGTTTTTAGAGTGATGGAGGGAATCTCAAAAGTAGTTGAGGGAGCATGTCTTGGCATGGGTCCCATTTCCCAGGTTAATGCTCCATTGTCCATGCATTTGGATTTATCAACCAAGAATTCATCTGAGGCCCTCTAGGGTGGGCCTCACCATGGTGGGTGAGTGGAGTCCAAGGTTTTACCAGCCCAAGAGCTTCTCAGTGTTTGCTCCACCCCAACAACTACATGACGGCTTGTTGATGACAGGGAGTAACCAGAGAATATTTGGCTAATGGTACTAGTACAAAAATGTCACCGAGGACAGATCCAATGTAGCCCAGCCTCAACAAGGGCAACAGTAAAGTAGACTTTTGGACTACTGAAGATGAGGTTCCACTGCTAGGACTGCTGAGGCAAAGCACTTCAGGACTCTCCAGATCGAGCAGCCAGGATGTTGTCTTGCACAATACCACTCTGTAAAGTGGAGCTGAATTTGTAAAGTGGGAGATGGTGGAGCCACATGTATTCTTAATGATGAGGAGGAAGAGGCAGTAGTGAAGCTACAATGGCAGGTGCCAGGGTAATGATATGACATTAAGAGATGACCATGCGTGTATCATTGACATCAGGTTCCAGGCCAACTGAAGCACTGCAGTATTTCTGTGCCATATGACTTATTATCCTTTGTTGGCTGGAAACCCTGTTTCCCTCATTGACCCATATGTTTTTACTTCATTGTCATGTTCTAATGGCTACATTGAATTTTACATTTTCAACTTAGTACTGCTAGTACTGTAATTCTGTACCTAAAGTAATACACATCCCATTTGCATTAAATGTTCCACATAGGTAACACTGCATTGTCTGTTATACCAGGAGCAATATGGTACCTGAATAACACTTTACATTCCTGTGACCTTAGACAAGTGGAAGGAAAACTGCTGCAGTCCCTTGACAGGAGCAAGTCCATCTGTTTGCTACATTGGATGTCATATATGCTTTTTATTTGGCACTGATATATTCATGTCTCATTCACATTTCACAAATAAGGAAATGCCTGTTGTGGCTGTCACCAGCAAAACATGCAACAACTCAGCTACAAAAATGCTCAACAGAGGGATGATAATTGTGTGAACACGATCTGCTTTTTGTGCCAGATCACAGTCTCCTTAAGATTTAAGTCTGCAAATGTCAGACTAATCATACAGACCAGACTGACATGTGACTTCATAAATGTTGCACCTGTAGGTTCCTTATAGGTTCACGTCAGCCGGATAGGAGATGACTCCAAAACCTTTGAATTCACACAACGGTTAAAGAAACTAGAAACAAAAATAAAATGTAACAAATATGTTCAAAGTGTAAAAAACACATATTTGCAATTATGTTTCTTTCTATATAGTAATTTAAAAGTTGTGTCACTTTTGTGCCCTTTAGAACTCCTTATTTTTTTCTTTTCCTCCCACCGCACCTCAGTGCATCTTGACTTTCATAGCTGCTGTGAGATAGCCCACTGACTGCTGAGCCCTATTCACTGTGATAATGTTGGTGTCCTTCCTCTAGGCTTAGAGGGTTGTGGGCTGCTGAGAGTTTCCTGAGCAGGTAGAGATTAAGGCTCTTCGGCTTGATTTGCTGAACATGGTGTCACTGGAAGAGGAAAGGTGGAACAACAGGGCACAGGTGGAGTGCCTGGAATGCTTTGCTGGAGCTCCTCCTCCCTGTCAGTGTGCAACAATACTTCCCTGACTCCTTTAAGAGGAGTGGCATTCTGGAACGAGCAGTCAAGATGTCTCAAGTCCTTCTCGCTCAGTTATTATTGCATAGACTAGAGTAATGAAAGAAAGAAATCAGCTCATATCCACCAACAACTACGCATATTGCTGGACCTCATTCTCCAAAACAACCACTGTCCTTTCCATGGAGGCAATCAAATATTCATGTGCTGATAGAATGTAGCTGGACACCTCCACCTTTAACTTTAGTCATGCATAGATTCTAGCATCTCTACCAGATGTTTGTTGCCTGAATCTGCATATCCAATAAGTATTTACAGCCATATTCAGATACATCATCCTACAGCTACAGGCACATAGAATCATAGAATCATAGAATCCCAAAAGTTCAGAAAGAGGCCATTCAGCACATCAAGTCCACACTCACCCTCCAAAGAGCATCCCACCCAAACCCAGCTCTCCACCCTATCCCCATAACCCCACATTTTGCATGGCTAACCCACCTAGCCTTAACAATCCCTGGACATTATGGACAATTTACCCTGGCCAATCCACTTTATTTGCACATCTTTGGACGGTGGGAGGAAACCAGCACTACTTGAAGGAAAGTCATGCAGACATGAGGAAGAACATGCAAAATTCCAAACAGACAGTCACTCAAGGTTGGAATTGAACCTGAGTCCCTGGCGTTGTGAGGCCTTGTAGAGCTGTTGTAAGACTTCCTTGTTCCTGTACCCAAACTCTCTTGCAATGAAGGCCAACAAACCATTTGCGTTCTTAACTGCCTGCTGCACCAGCATGCTTGCTTTCAGTGACTGACTCAGGTCCCTATGTACATCAGCCTTTATCTATCACAATTTAAATAATATTCTGCCACTTCTTCCAAGCGAAGTGAATAACCTCATGTTTATCCATGTTATTCAGTATCTACTGTCTATTTACCCATTTATTCAACTTGTCTAAATTGTCCTGAACCCCTACGTTTTCTTCATTATTGCCTAATTTTGTCATCAGCAGACTTGGTATTCTATTTTATTCCCTCATCAAAATCACCCAAGCAATGATCCTTGTGGTAACTTACTTGTCACTGCCTTTCATTCTGAAAGTGAGCCATTTATTCCTACTCTGTTTCCTGACTGCTGGCCAATTCTCAATCCACACTAGTATATTACGACCAATCTCATGTCATCTGATGTTTCACAATAACCTCTTATGTGGGACCTTATTAAAAGCTTTCTGAAAATTCAAAAACACCACATCAACTAGTTCTCCTTCATCTATTCCACTAGTTGCATCCTCAAAAAAACTCTAGTAGATACGTTAAACATGATTTATAAATCTCTGCTGCCTTAGTGTAATACAGATGTTACATTTAGCATCCTCTTATCACACTGTTTATAATAGACTCCAGCATTTTCCTTACTATTCATGTTAAACTAGCAGTCTGTAATATCTGGTTTACTTTCTCTCTCCTTTGTTAAAAACTGGTGTTATATTTTCCACCCTCCAATCTGCCAGGATTGTTCAAGAATGTACAGAACTTTGGAAGATGACAGCCTATTCAAATATTATTTCCATGGCTACCTCCTTTAGTGTGCTGGCATGTAAATGATCAGGCTCTGGGAATTTATCAGCTTTCACTCCCATTGATTATTCCAACGTTATTTGTTTTCTAATAATAATTTACTTCAATTTCTCCTTCCCAAAAGACTTCGAATTCCCAAATATTTCTAAGAAGCTTGTTGTGTCTTCTTCTATGAAGACAGAACAAAAGTAGTGATTTGATTGCCCTGCTATTTCATTATCATTATCAATTTTCCCATTTCAGACTGTAAAGCAGCAGATCTCTCCATTCAGCATGAACTGCTCCTGGTAGGAGGGGACAACCTCCCTGTCAGTCATAAAGACTGCAGGCATTACCTGGCTGGTGGCACACATAATGTGGCCTCCACTGACCACTGGTCAAAATATCAGTTACAGCAGGATGCCCACATAAGTGCCTCAATTGGCTTTCAAGCAGAAAGGTTATCTATAGGTATTGTAGCCCTAAATATTATTGAAAATGTCTCTGATCTGCTTCTCCCTGCTCAGTTAAATGGACTTCCCCTGCCTCCGCCTCCAGACTGGGTGAGGTGACATTCTGCCCATGCTTTGTTAACCAGGATTTTGACGACAGGACTTGGTGTGAACAAGTGTTTGATAAATCTGCTAAAGGAGATAAAGGAAAGATAATGAAGTAGAGTGTAAAAATCAGCTGAACTAGTATAGTGCATAAGAATTTGGGTTTAATCTATCAAAAATCACAGCAACTTTTGGATCATATGGCCTTCCCTGTTCCTAAGTATATAGATTCAATTAACAGGGATTAAATATTAACAAGACAGTTAGAAAGACAAAATATAAAGACTGCAAAAGAAGAAAAGAAGTATTTAACAACTAAACACAAGTATATCTTCTAAATTGCAAAGTGAGTTTTTTTTATGTATCATGTACCAAAGATGCTACATAGATCCACACTGATAGTACATTGTTAGGATATGGATAAATGTACACTGCAACAGCAAACTCCACATTAGGGATTTCTATATTATGAATACCAGTACTGTAGACTTTATCAAATATTGTCTGCAAATTTGAATAGCGCATCTGAATAGGAAATCCAGAAACCTGTAGAAGAGCACAAGAAAAATAATAAATTGCCATAGTTGACAGCTAAATTAGATACTTCGTGAATCAAAACATTTCTTCTTATCCAATAAATTAAATGTGCAGAGAGATTCAATATAAGGTGATGACCTACACACCATTCAATTTTGCAACAATCAGTTGAAATTTTGCATATCATGTACAGATAGTTATGGAGACCCAGTAGTTTTGTTGTAAAACTTGGATTAATAAAATAATGCAAACCTATATTTATTCAAGTTAGTATATAATCTCGTCACAAACTTTGTACTTAAAGAAAACTAAAGTACTTAATTCAAGTTGTGAATGAAATACATATATGTTTCAAAATGGAAGTAGGCCATTCAGTCCAGCTGGCTCATGTTAATATTTACATTGTGTGAGCAAATATGTATGATCACACTTATCCAACTTGCTCTATCCCTTCAAGCAATTTCCCTTCATTTATCTATTTGATCGAATCTGATTATTGATCTAGTTGTTTTCGCAACCTTGGAAGTGAATTCCACAGTCTTGCAACATACCTTATTGATTAACACTGCATTGTTCTACTGAAACGTACCCAAATGTCTTTCTACGTGTTTCTTGAAATAACTCCACAGAGGCCAGTATCCTGTCACCAAGTCACCCTTTATTTACACATGGAAAGTCATTAACACCTATCCAGCTCCCTTGGAGCCAGCTCTCAGAGTGCCCCTTATTAGTCTTCCCTGTAATTCGCATGATAAATGGAGACAGACAATAGACCATGTAAAACATTCTCCATCATCTGCTGAAAAATTGCACAGGCTGACAATATCCCAAATGGCAGTTTCATATATTGGTACAAACTATTATGGGTATTAATTGTAGCATACTTCTGGGAATCCTCAGCTAACCGAAATTGCAAGTACACATGGCTCATGTCCAGCTTCATGAGGCGCAGACTCCCACTAGCTTTGCGTATAAATCCTCCATGTAAAGCAATGGTATTTATCCAGCTGCAAAAAGCAGTTTACCATTTGTTTAAAATCTCTGCAAAGGCAAACTGACCTGTCAGGCTTCGCAGTCAGTAAGACTAATGCTGCTGATTCTGCAAACTGGACTGGTTGATGATTCCTTTGCTTTCCAGCTTTCTGATTTCTGCCTCTACTTTTGTCTGTAAGGTAAATGGCACTAGGTGGGCCTTGCAGAATTGTGAAATTGCTTCCTGGTCAACATGCAAGGTGGTCTTGGCTCCTTTGATAGTCCCTAGACCATCCTGAAAACCATCCAGGTATTTAATTAGGACTTTATTCAGGCAGCTATTTTCTAATCGAAAAATGCTGAGCCAATCAAGGTGAATCGTTCTCAACCAATTTTGCCCCATCAAGTTTGGGCCTACTACAATCAATGGTAACTGAACCAGCTGCTTTTCATAACAGACCGGAACTGAAGTTGTATCATTTATCTGTAAAGGTTCCCTGATACAGGTTCTCAGTCTAGCTGAAGTATTGTGCAAACTTAAGGGTTGGGATCCAGAGCAAATTTTGTTAATGAATGGTTCTGCAATCATGGAAACAGCCACACTGGTACTGACTTCCATTAGAACCGGGTGAACATTTAACCAAATGTTTATTTTGATTGGTTCTGATTTGGATCTTGTTAAGCAATTTAACTACTCCAAACAGATGTAAGTGGACTTTCCAGGGTGTACACTCTCCCAGATACTGGCCTTTAAGCTCTCTTGCTCAATTTAGGTCTAGTGGGACACATTTGCTGTCTCGGGTCCACATTCTGGCAGCAACTACACTGCCTTTTTAGCCTAGATCCTAAAGAAAATTATAACCATTTGGCTGAGGCTTGGCTTTACTTTGGGGTTTTGCTGTGAGCTGACCCAAAGTTCCTCTGTTCAAGCTATGTCATGAGTGATGCTGTGCAATTGCCTTCACCCGAGTGGTGTTCCCCAAGCTCAGTTGGACTGGCTAGGATGTCCATCGGAATACCCTGCAATTCGTATGCTCCATTTGGCACATTTTCCAATGATAAAGCCAGTTGTAGTGCCTGTTTGAAGTCAGTTGGGCTTCAGCTAAGTGGCACTTTTGCATGGTTACATCATTAATCCCAGCGGTCTCTGAGCATCTCATTAAGGGTAAAACCATATCTCTGCCAGTCATCCTAACCTAGTTAAAAATCCTGATACGGATTTCCCTGGTGCTCAAATTGCCGAATAAAAATGATAGCATCTCAGAATTAGAGGAAGCTTGGGGTCGTTGAAAGTATTTAGTGTCAGGTGGCTCAGGGAAAGTTAGGCTCTTTATAACTGAAAACGTTGTGGGTCCACAAGCTGACAGGAGAATTACTTGTTGCTTTTCATCTGCCCCAATGTAATTTGCCTGGAAAAAGTAATGCATTCTTTCCACGTACTGGGCCCAGTCTTATATGCAGGGTCAAACGAGTCAAGCTTCCCAAATAACAATGATGCAAGCAATGCTTATGTCAACTCAAAGATGACTGTTGCGAGCGAATTACTGTCATCGCCACTGAAATAACTCCACAGAGGCCAGTATTGGGTCATTAAGTCACTCTTTTACACATGGAAAATCCTTGAGATTTCTCTAATGTGCAGCACCCAAATGTATAAACATTGCACCTTCTAAGCTTCAGCATTGTCGCTGTAGGGAGGACCAAATACTGCACATGGTTTACTAACCTAGTTCTCATTCAGGTTTTCTATAATTCTATCATTCACTTGTGTATTGTTATTCCATGGCAAAGAATTTTACTGACATGCAAAAATGAATACAGGGATCACAGTACAGATTAACTTGAAACTGTTCTTTGTTGCTGCCCATCTCTTTTAAATAACTGCTGTGTGCAACCTGTGCTAGTTGCCCTGCACCTTGGGTACAAGCATCAGCAGGCAGCCCGATACCCTGAGTGACTAGCACAACATAAACACAGTCTACTGATCTTAAAAGAAAGGTGCTTTGTGGCTGTAAGAAGTAAGGGTAGAATTTCACATTCAGGCTAGCAGTGATAATTTTGAGCAACATGCGAGAGCAAGCATTCAGTGTTCAGACAATATGGAGTAGTAAATGATCAGGATGCAGTGAAAACAAGTAGCAGCAAAAGTGAATACTATAAGTGAGATAACGAGGTGTAGAACTGGATGAACACAGCAGGCCAAGCAGCATCAGAGGTGAATACTATAAGTGTTGCTCCAAAAACATAACGCATTGAAGAAAGAAGTTTAATAATCTGGCACAAATTGTGGGTGCAGGTGAGTCATCTTCAAATTATATATCATACAAACACTAGCCTCATCCACATTTTTTTCCTATCACCAAACCACCTGTGATATTTTTTTCATCCATTAACTGCCACCAGTAAATCACCTGTGTTTTCTAATTGATTCATTTACATGCAAAGCCTATTAGGGCAAGGCACTCTTTTTCAATTTACTATTCTCCACAATTAAATCAATACTCAACCTTCCAATTCATATGCTTTACCTGACCTGCACAAACCAAGCACTCATACTCTGATGTAAACTGTGGAAAATGTGTTAATGTCATTTACTGCAAGTTTGGGCTCTTGGATTCTAAGTACGTGAGAGGACTAGACAGGCAGTGCAGGAATCCACTGTGACTATTCCCCTGCAAAACAGATAAACCATTTTGAATACTGCTGAGGGTAATGGCCTGTTAGGGGAAACCAGTAACAGCCAAATTCATTTCAAATTGTTGGCTCTGCTGAAAGAGAAAGGAGGAGAAAGTGTGGAAGTGCAACAGTTATTGGAGATTCAATTGTAAGGGGAATAGACAGGCATTTCTGTGGCCAGAAACGAGAGTCTAAGATGGTATAAAACCAGAAGTTGTTGGAAAAGCTCAGCAGGTCCAGCAGCATCTGTGAAGAAAAATCAGAGTTAATGTCTTGGGTTGAGCGTCTCCTCAAGCATCACTGGTCCCGAAACGTTAACTCTGATTTTTCTTCACAGACTCTGCTGAGCTTTTCCAACAACTTCTGTTTTTTTTGTGATTTACAGCATCCTCAGTTCTTTTGGTTTCTGAAGGATGGCATGTTGTCTCCCTGGCGCTAGGGTCAATGATGTCTCAGAACAGCTGCATGGCATTCCAGAGAGGGAGTGTGAACAGCCAGTGGTCATGGCATACATTGTATTAATAGGTAAAAAAAAAATGAGCTCCTAAAAGTAGAATACAGGGAGTTATGAAGCAAGCTGAAAAGTAAGACATCAAAGGTAGTGATCTCAGAATTACTACCGGTGCCACGTGCAAGTCAGACTTGACGTAGCAGGATATATCAGTTGAATATGTGGCTAGAAACATGGTGCAAAGGGGTGGGTTTCAGATTGCTGGGATATTGGGACTGGTTCTGGGAGAGGTGGGTACATTCTGGATGGATTACATTTGGGCAGGACTGGGATTGACGTCCAAGGGCAAGTATTTGCTCATTTGGTTGCTGCAGGTTTAAATGAGAATGGCAAGGACAAGGGGGGGTGGGAACCTAAGTAGGGTAACAAGAGAAAGAGAAATCAGGATGGTAATAAAAGAAAGATGCAAAACAATAAATGCAAAAACAGTCTGGCACAGGCTGTGGCAAGGCAGTGGCAGAGGAGTTTCAATCCAGCAGTGAAAGATGGCACTTGAGGATCAGCGACTTCGACATTGGTTGGGTACAGTGTAGATGGTGCAAAGCGGTGGAGGGGGGATGGTGCTGCAGGCTTCATTGATGGTGATAAGCTGGCTCAGGACTGATGGACTCTCTTAAATTATTCAAAATGATGGCAAATAGTGGTGAAATATGAAAATTTTTCATTGTATGTTATTGTACACTTACTGTAAAATACACATGACAATAAAATCATTAATTAATTCATTCAGTGGAAAGGCTAAACAACAGCGAGAGGCAAATAAGGCCATAGTATAAGGAAAAACCACAACAAATAAAGGGAGCATATTAAAAAAAAGAGCAATAATTGTGGGTGACTTAAGCTTCATGTT